TGGAGACACTCCAAAAAACAAGATACCTCCACTTTTGTCATTTTCGAGTTAAGGGCACTTTCGTCTTCAAAATAGTCCAAATAATATACGGCATAAACAAGACAAGTGGAACGAAGTCTATATTCATAATAAACAGATGGCCAATAAAAACTAACTCCATATTAATACATTTACAATATAAACAAACCAGTGACATTATACCGAAACAATCATAACATTGTATTCAATTGCTAATAGTGTGTCAACTAAAACCAGATATTTTTGCTAAATGTAGTTCGATTCCTAAAAGTGTTTTTGCCGAAACAAGAACATTTATTTTTGTTGAATGTATTTGTTCAAATACCTTAAAATTTTGCCCAAGCCATTTGTTTTGTTTTTCTTAGAGCCGTTTTTAGCATATATCGGTTGTTCCAAAATCATCAAGGTGATTACGTCACCCTTTCTCTCCGCGATTCAACTAAACTTCAAAAACCAATAGAAGGATACCTGAAAGAGTGAAAAAAATAGCTCTAAAAATAATTACAAAAAAGTGCAAGAAGAAATATTTACTAAAACTTTGCAAATCAGGTGCTACACCTGATGAATTTCACCATTATTATTACAATCCATCTGTATCCAATAATGTTAAAGACACGGTACCTGAATCTTAATGTGAAGATAGTAACACATACATTGAATATTATGACCTATATGTAGAGAGCTAAAATAAGCTAAGTGACGTTTTTTCTTTTTTTTTTCTTGTTACCAACCAATGAATTCTTAGTTTATACTTTGTGAAGACTTATGTTTTGAATACCTTTCTTTAATTGGAGGTATTGTTTGTGAATGAACTTAATAATAAATCAACCCAGACAACACACCAAATCCCAGAGATATCCACAGAATATCTTTTGTGGATATCCAATATATCCACAGGATATCAGAAATATTCCGTGGATCTAATATGGATATCCAAATGTCCGTCTATATCCAGAATATAGAAGATATCATATGGATATCCAGCAAAATATCTAATGAGTATCTTCCAGACAATACAAGAAATCCCAGAGATCTCCACAGAATATATTCTGTGGATATCCAATATGGATATCCAACCAAATGTCCGTCTATATCCCAGGATATAACAGAATTCGGATATTCAGCTAAATATTTTATAGGTATCTTTAGTAGAGGTTCATAAGTAACCAATGATTATTGAATAAAGTCGAAAGAAAATAGCAGAGATAAAAAATATTTTCAACTCTCAAAATATTTTCAACACTATGCCTTTGATTTTGCCCACTAAGGAGAAAGTTATTCTTATTAGGACTCTTCAGCAATAAATGGAAATTCTCGACTCCAGTCTCTAATGGAGTCTGATTGTGAAACAAATTTCGAACTCAATTACGGCGGGTTGGGCATGATAGATGCGAAAGTAGTATCGCCATCTATACTTAGTAAGCAAAATCAAAAATTACATCTAGTGGGTATCGACGATGGTTTGCGTTCGCGCCTAGACTTTCGATATATTTAGTGGATGTCCATGGGATATTGAACACACCTTAAAAAAATTAATTTTAAATATCTGAACGGTACTATTAGCCACAATGGCGTAATTTTTTAATAATTTGCTATATAATTACTATTATTTATGGACATTTGTATGTCTATAAATTACAGCTCATGGATATAAAATAGATATATACCATGGACTGGACATTCAGTGGATATTGGGATGTTCAGTAGATATCCAAAGGATTTGGTGTGCTGTCTGGGAATATTCTACTTCCTAACTAAAAGCATATAGTACCCATAAATCACTAGAGTGAATTATGATAATTCACGCATTTGTAATTCTGGCACATTCCGGTAGGTGACTCAATGTCTAACCAGGTTTTTAAAAATATTCAAAACTCATATAATAATTTTTATTTTAAATCCTTACCTTTAATAAAATTAGAAAATTGTTCCGGTATTAACGTTACTATTAATGTAAATAAGTAATGATAAATACTTAGTTATTTATGCTGTTATCTTGTAAGTTAAGCATTCTTTTGTTAAACAACAACAGTTAGTTATCTATGTTTAATAAAAACTTTCCGTTCTACATTTAACTTTTATTTAATAAAGAAATCATAATGGTCGTGGACAAAGTATAGTATTACACTCGCAATTTATGGCCATTTCTTACTCGGGTGACTTGCGTGAATAATGGCTACCATAAATTGCTCGTTTAATAATATACTATTATTAAACAGTTTGAAGCTTCTAGTGATTTTTTATTCAATTTTAACCTTTTGACAGCGTTTTCTCGAATCCCTAAAAAAGTTGTAACCCGATGGGATAAAATTTATGTTTGTGTTTTGTTTATTAGAGATCCCCACTAACTAATTTTAAATGGATTACAAAAAAAAATATTGCGGCCCGTCTAACATAGCAAACATATGAATGTGGCCCGAAGGAAAAAAAAGGTTGAGTATGGCTGCCTTAGAGCATCATCTAAATCAGCCATACTCAACCTGCGGCCCGCGGGCCACATGCGGCCCTCCAAGCTTTTTTTGTGGCCCGCAACATCATGATTGGTCGCAGCGCTAAATAGCATGGTAATTTTTAAATAAACGTTTGGAATTTTGTGGGGTTACTGCAAAAACAAGATCGCTCCACTTTTGGAATTTTTGAGTTAAGTAGGTACACTTTCTACAAGTGTGAAAGAAGTCTATATTTATGATAAACAGCCAATAAAAACTAACTCCATTTTAATACATTAACAATATGGACAAATAAGATGGAGTGGCATTTATACCAAAACATAATCATAACATTGTGTTCAATTGATACATGTGTCTACCAAAACCAGATAATAGGCATATAACTTATTTTTGCTAAATATATTTAGTCCGATTCTTAATAGTGTTCCTATCAAAAGAAGATAAAGGCCAGAACCGAGGGGGAACCAATAAGGTCAAAACGTACCTGTATTTCGGAAATCACTTAAAAAATGTTATAAAATTTAGGTGATTTTACTGAAACTCGACCTTAATTTTATACGATGATCTTTTTTCTGGCCATTTCGGGTTATGAGCGACGAATTGATTTCGACCATGATTTTAGATGATTATTTTGGAAATTTTGAGAAAATGTGCAGTGATTTCAAGTGAAAACGTACCAGTATTTCGGGAGTGGTTTGTCGCTACTTATTTTTGTTGAATGTGTTTGTTGAAATATTACATTGTGCACACGCCATTTGTTTTGTTATGGATAGAGCCCTCTCTGGCCGATTGTTCCGAAATCCACGAGATAATTACGTCACCCTTTCTTTCCGGGATACAGCTAATCTTAAACAACCACTAGAGTGATTGATCAAGATGCAACGGGTGATTGGTCAAGCTGTAACGAGTGATTCGTCAAGCCGTAACGAGCGAATTTTTATGTGAAAATTCGTGAATAAAAGTATTAGTGGTAACAGGCGAATATTAATTTTAACATACTTTCTAATAGACAACGTATCGAAAGATTCAGCTATCCTAAATACATTCCACCAAAAAAATAGATTTAATTTATCAATGGGCGAGGTTGGGAAATTCGGCTTTATATGCCAAACTCACACAGTATTTATTCAGAGGGATACATGAAAGGATGAAACAAAGTTTTGAAAATACTTACAAAAAGTGCAAGAAGAAAGATTTACTAAAATTTTGCAAAATCAGATACACCTGATGAATTTCACCATTATTATCACAATCTACCTGTATCCAATAATGTTACTGGAACTTCGACTGAAGATACATGCATTGAATTATGTTTTGTATCTAGAGCTAAAATAAGCTAAGTGACGTTTTTTCCCAATTATTGATAGATTATTAGTTTATACTTTGTGAACAATGTTTTCAATACCTTCTTCATTGAAGTTAATAAACGGTTTGAGGCTTTTACTGATTTTTTATTCAGTTTTAAACGTTTGAATAGTGTTTTATCAAAACTCTAAAAATGTGAGTTATCTTGTTTTTGCAGTACCACAACGGGATATATTTGTTTTAGATAGATGTCCTAAAAAAAGGTCATCATCCAAAAATATTGCGGCCCGTGTAACATTGCACATATACGAATGTGGCCCGAAGGAAAAAAAGGTTGAGTATCGCTGATCTAAATCATCATTGTAGTCATTAAAACCCCCAAAATCAAAATTTTCTCTATAACCAACAATTCTTTTCTCAAAAAGTACCTACGATTATAAAGGGAATATAAAGTAGATACGTTAACGTCAATATTTTTGCTTTAACTTTCTTTTTCTTTCAGATTAGACGTTAAACTTATCGTCAATTTCTACGTCAGAGAGATACATATACGTTTGTATAATTGGCATACTTAAAAACTCAATTAACCATTCCTCTTTATTCCGTTTCTTTTTTCTCTTCATTAACGCACTTTTTGCATCACTTTTAATTACTACACATTTCCTGACAAATTATAATGTCCACGCTGTTTGCTGATCGTTTTGACTTGTCGTGTACTACTGACAAGTGCTCCGCGAACGTTGGACATTTTGTCAAAATTCCCATGTTTCGGCTCCGCGAACGCCTGAAAATGCGCATGAATATCTATCGTGAACTTGTCGGCGACAGGCTCCGCGAACAAAGCTAATAGTAATGAAAATAGTAACCTTTAAATTTGACAATAATCGTTCTACGCATGTACAATGAATATCTGGCGGCTATTTGTAGGAAATTGCCACTTGCAAGTGTTTGTTATGGTTACAGTCAGAATTCATATAACTGGAGGTCGATAAACGTTTTGTATAATGTATAACGGCCATCTTCGTAGCTACCAGCTATCCTGAATAGATGGAGATAGAAAAACCTGCCCTAATAGGACCATCCACTGAACGGTCGTTTGTTGGTATGCCTGTAACCTACTGCGCAAGACCGTAACGTTACAAGTACGCTACGAACTTATCGATAGTCATTTGAAACGCGAAATATGTTGTTAAAAATTAATTCCGCTACTTATAATAAAACAAATTGTTATTAAAAATAATTTATTTCTTAACATTTAAGTTGAACGATACGTTAATACCGTCTTTCAGATCTAGGATAAGACTCCTTTCGTCTGGGGTAATCTCTTCTCTCTCTGCTTCTTCTTCTCTCGTAATTCCTTTTATGATCCCTATCTCTGCTTCTGTGTCTTCTATCTCTGTCTCTGTACAATTGCCTAGAACTAGGTCTGTTTTTGTGATCGTCCCGTTTTTCAGATTTATCTTTCTCAATGTGATTATTAACCTCCTTCGCAGGTTTTATGCAGTCTTTTTCTACTCTTATTGGTATTTCAGCCTCATAATCGTAACTGACATTAAAGCTGATGTTACCGTTTAAACTATTTTCCAAAAAACTATTGTCAGTCACCTCAAATGGATCTATGCCATAATCATATACCACGTTCGAGTCAATATGTGGAAATTGTTCGTAGGCTTGAGCCTTCTCTATTAATTCTTGCTGACGTTTACGTTCAGCTTCTTCTTCCGCTCTTTGTTTTTCTTTCAAATGATCTTCAAATAGTAACATTTGATTTTGAATTACTTCTCTCATGATTTCCGTGTGACTTTTGTTGCTGTCCGTATGAACCGATTTGTATTTGACTGGGCGTCGTTTGGCGTTTCTTTCTTTTTCTAGTCGTTCTTCTTCTGTTAACAATTCTTCCTTTTTGCTTCTATCTTCACCATTCCTAAAAACATATTTTTATAGAAGATTTTTACAAGGACCACATTGAAATGCTCACATTAAGAATTCACTTGGTGCTGGTGGAGCTTCAGTGTTTTTGATAGAATAGTCATAGATGGCAAGTCTTTCATCTGTTGAAAATGTTGTTACGATTCTGTTAGCTGTCATAGGATCTGGTTCAAGTCCATTCCAAGCTAAAGAAAATAATAAGTAATTTAAATGTGTTGAAACAGAAAATGTTTACCTAAGTTGGTAATAACGGTCTATAAACGTCTCTGTTACAGTTTGGTAAACTATATTAAATGAATGTATAATAGAGTTAGGAGATATTTCGCAAACGGTTATATAATTACTGATATTTAAAAATATCGGTAAGCTGACTTTATTTCTTCAAAATGTTTTTCAGAAAAATATTAACGAATATTTAATTTATTAATAATTTGAAGAACCAACCTCATTTATTTTAATTTTACTAATCATAGTAACGATTTACAATGTGACTAAGGGTTGACGTTCCTATCTTTAACAAGTTTACTTCCGAACTAAAAATCGAAAATTAGTCCCACAGGCAAATTATATTTTATAATGTAAGAGGATTAGACAAGTAACTGGGTTCAAGAGATTGTAAAAAATCGGTAGAAAGAAAAAAATTAATTTTTTAAAGCCGGTCGTATAGATCGGCGCGACGTTCAATAAGATTAATTTATCTTATACGCCACCAACGACGAGCTCCTTTAACTATCAGAAGACTAGAATAGTTTAGTAGAAGGATAAATATTAGGAAACATGAATAAATTTGTTGCTATAACAAGTATTAGAAATTAAAAATTTAAAAAACCGACTTCAAAAACGTGCAGATGCCATTACCACATCTTAACCAAATTTATATGGGACCACCCCTGAGGTACCCCCTTACTAACAAAAAAAGAATCATATAAATCGGACAAGGTGGTAAAGCATTATCGCTAAACATACATAAAAAATTAAGAGTTTGAGGATTTTCTCATGGACCCAATTATTAGATTTTGACTAAATTTATATGGGACCACTCCTGAAATACCCCCTTTCTAACAAAAAAAGAATCATTGAAATCTGACACCGTGTTAAAGAATAATCGCTGAACATACATTAAAAAAAAAAAATATCGCGACGAATTGATAACCTCCTCCTTTTTTGAAGTCAGTTAAAAATAGAAGTTATTGCAAAAATTGTTGAAGGTTGTTTAAAGGCAAAATTAAAACCAAAAAAGTTTATATACAATGTAATGATAGCGAAGGAACACTATTCTTGTTTGTAACATTATAATAAGACAAATATCTTTTTGATCGGTCAAAGATCCAAAAACTAAAGTATCTATTTGGAAGTCTAAAAGTAAAAACCCCACTTCCTCATTCGAAATTAAGGAATCCATTCCAATAACCCCAAAGTGAAAAAAGCCAATGAAAAACTGTTGTGGAAAAGTTCAAATTGTCATTTGTTTTCGAGTTACCTGCCGTATCTTTGTTATTTCTTATGGCGGTCATCTTGGATTTTAAACGATGGGCCACATGTCATTCATTTTTTTAAGAAATGCCCTTAAATTAATATTTTCGTTAATTTGGCAACACCGCATCCATCTAAAATGGTATGCTACACTAAAGTGCATTAGTTTTATACTGGATATTTTTATTAAATATCTGGTTTCCAACAGTAAGAACTTTAAAGCACTTTTTAAATCTTCCTTTAGTTTTTCAGAAAATTTTTTAATATATTAAATAAATACAATAATTGAAACTAATTTGGGATTTTTTTTTTTATTTATTAGTAAACTGAAATTAATTTATCTAAAAATAAACACATTAATGAACGTTCTATGCATTATTACATAGGGTAGCGAAAAAGTTAGGCAACGAGGTATTTTCTTTGAAACGAATGAATATATAATTATGGCGATAAATGAGATTGTATTCTGCATTTTTTAGAGGACGTCAAATTTATGTGATGTCGGCGTTTAGCACTCCGAGCAATTACTACTAGAGGGAGTCTTCCCCCCCTTCCCCGCGCCAAATTTTGTTAGCAACATATACTCCCCCCGAGGGGGAAAATACCTCTTCTGTAATTGGCTTATTTAATCATCGTTGCCAAGTTTGACAGCGCCAGTTCTGACACTTTCTGGCACATGTCAATTTCTTATTTGTATTTTAAGGAAAATATTATTATTTATAACGTTGTAAGGGTTGTAAATGTATATTATGTAAAATTTATTATCTCTAATAATATGGTGAAAACATGCTTTATGTGTAAAAGGCCTGTTGAAAATGCTTCTTCAAGATAATATCATAAGTAAGTACAGACACAACCTAATTATCAGAGGCGGTGCATTAGGCAATCACCTTTAATTTGCAATTAAACTTTCTTATTTTCTTTTCGAAAAATGAAAATTAAGAGCAAGTAAACTCCAGCTAAGTTCGTCTTCATCCGTCTCATAATCATTATAGTAAAGGTTAATTACTTATTATTATTTTAATATCACATCTTTGTAAAGTTAATTGTTATTTTTTTAGGTTTCCTTTTCTTGATATGAGAAAGAAATACATGGTTCCAAAATATAGGAATTCAACAAGTGACCCCCTGAATAACTTTTCATGCTAATGAAAATTTTTATTACAGACCTCAGGGGAGGAAAATATTAAATAAAAATGCAATTTCGACTAAAGAAGTATAATAATCAATCCTGTCACTACTTCTACACTATATTCATCTGCTACTAAAATACTAAAACAGCAAGTAAGTAGAGAAACTTAAGTTTCTTTCAAAAAGAATGTTTAAGGAAAAAGGCATAGCCATTTTTTAGTTGACACTTTTTTTTAACTAATCTAAAAGACCAATTTTGTGTATTGTTTAAATTTTCATTTTTTGTACTTAACTTGTTTTAGGTTTAAACAAAATGAACTTCTAAGATATGCATGGAATATCCCAAAAGAGCTAAGGAAGGTTTTAAAATTCTTAAGAAAACTATTCAGAGCCAAAAACATTAAATAGTAGTCCTGGTCCTGTCCAAAATATAAATAGGTATAAATATTTAGATATTATGAGTGATTTTTTATTCTATAAATAGAACATAATTTGCTTCTAAATCACTACCTAATGAACTATTTTATATAGTACAAAACTAAACAAGAATATCACATTATTCATGTTTTTTTTTTATTTCCTCAAAAAACATCCCAAAAAAATGTGAATATTTATTATTGGAGTTTACATCGTTATGCTAAAAAAAATACTAGAACAACTTAAATAATGTGGATTTTGACTATTTTGAGTTATGCAGATCATTATGATCTAAAAAAATGTTTGTCTGGTGCTATAGTCCGGTATAAAAACATTCATTTATTTAAACGCAGTTGGAATATACATTTTATTTAGTTTTTAAAACATATTAGGACATCCTAAAATGACTTTTTTCGTTTGATGTGAGATTAATTATTCTTCATTTTTGTTGGTGAAATAGGATATATTAAGATGTCTTACTGTTTTCTCTGATTATCTAAAAAGTTAGAACAATATACAAAGACTGTTATAACAAAAAAGAGATATACCTTTACTTAAACACACAATTAGTCAGTTCAATTGTACGATAATTTAGAGTAGAAATGCAGATAATTTTAAAAATGTGTTTAAATGTGTTTTTACTATAACAAGAACATAATTATTAAAAAAAACTTGGCACAAAATGACATTATTAATAATTTAGCAATAAAAAAGTTAAGTACAATCATGACATTAAAAGTTGAGTTTCTCGAAATAATTTTTTTAAATTGTCTCAGTACCTACCTAGTATTTTTCTAGCACAATGATATCTGAATGTGCATTGTGTGATATCTTATATTTTAGGAATAAAATGATATATTTTTTTGCAGGTTTCTGTTAACAACGATTCCAAGAACTTTTGAAAATATTATTAAAACGGTCTTTGCAAATATAATTCTCAATTAAGAGCTTTTGATCTAACATTAAATTTTTATTCTCCATAAGGTTACAGCTTCCTAAGAAGAAAGTTCAAGACTTACTAGACCCAAAATATCAAAATTTTACCAATCAATTGATGGTTCTACTGGTTTCCATAGAAAAATTCTCCTCGAAACTACTAAAAGAAAAGTGGCAGAGGCAACCGAAGAGGGCAAAAAAGTCTTTTGTAAAACAAAAACTAGAAATTTGTTTAAGAATCTAATTATTGTTTGAATTTTTACCATTAATAATTTTTGATAACGATTTAAGATTATGAAGTTCTATTATGTATTTTACTCTTTGATAACCTATGTTTAAATTTTTATTAGGACCAAAATAAATTATAATTTCAACTACAAAAACCCTCATAATATTAAAAAAGGGATTTTGTTTCATTTCCTGCATTAGACACATATAAGACGGTATTCATTTTAAAAAGCATGATTCCTATACTTTCCTTATATCTGTATACAGATAGGAAAGTAAAAATAGTAAAATTAGCAAATTTTTTTAGTTTTTTTTTACAATTAAAACGTTTGGACAATGTGTTTTTATAAATGATACGCCACTGAACAAGAAGGATGTTTACATTCCCCCTTGTGCCCGCTTCCTCACTTCCTCTACAGATGTTGCTAACACAACAATCGCCTACAAACTCGTTTTCACGCTCCCTCTATTAGTAATTGCTCGGAGGTTTAGCATACAGCCGCCATCTTGATTTTTTTTAAATGGCAACCTAGGTCGAGTGACATATCAGAGCAAAGCATTTTTCTTCTCTTTTTAAGAATACTAAACTATCACATTATTACTAATTTAATATAGTTCACCATGAAATACCTTGTTGTCAGACTTTTCCGCTAACCTGTATGTATAGGATGAGAAAAAACAATAATTATTTAATACAGTCCCATTCATCACCATAAAATTTAATAATTATAAATTCATTAGTTTCAAAGAAAATAATACCTTGTTGTAAGACTTTTTTGCTAGCTCGTATATTTAGATGGATAAAATTTCTACCATTAACACTGTGACAGTTTTGGTAATATTTTGAAACAACCCTTCGAAACATTTTTGGATTTATCGTGTAGAATATATTTCAGACTGTTCCTTTCAAAATTTCTCAGTTTTCTGGCAAGTCAAATTCATAAATTTCATTTTTAGCCCATCCCAGTAAATAAAAATCCAGTGGCAAAAGGTCTGGTGA